ACATGCAACAGAATTTTGGGGGGGGGAGTTATATGAAAGGTTGAGTGCTACACTCTTACCCCAAGATAACCTCCCTTTATACTGGATGAAGTGGCTAAAAAAGCAACTATATCTGCTTTGCCCAATGCACGTTGTGAGCTAAATGGATCTCTTGAACATGGGAGGAAATGCGGAAGCAGAAACGTCTTTTCCATAAATGCCTCTAAAATTTATCACACCGCCTCATCTCAAAATGCTTTAAAAGTTAAATTGTTCCAGTTTACATTTCAAACAGCGAGTCAAAGAAGTTGGTCTAAAATCTGGACAATTTATAAAATAAAAGCAGCCAACCTATTAGAAGAGAGGTACCTTGTATTCAGACGTACTTCCCTTTGTTTCTCTTCAGTTCCACAAGTACAGCAAACTCTGGCAAAAGATATGCCTGAGCCATTGCTTTATATGGTCTCCCCCCTCGCCCACTCCCTTCCTCCATCCCCTCCCCTTCATGCACTTCATAAAATCTACTGACTCATTTTCTCTTCTATCTGTCAATTGTGCTCTGCCTTCTTACCCCTCCCACTGGCCACTCCTTCCCTACTCCCTGCCACACACACAAGCCCTGCACAAGGGAAGATAAATTACCAGCTCCGGGGCTGGCCTCTTTGAGGGCCTGCTGAGGGAGCAAGAGGACTCAAGACTCTTCACGTGGGATTTCTCCAAGGCAGCAGCCATCACCCTCCTTCCCATGCTCACCCTTGCTGTGAGGGACAGTCTGTGGCTGCTCAGGACATTGATGGGGCCCGTGGGAATAGTCATGACCGCACATGAGAACAGCTTCTGCGGCCAAATGAGAACTTTATTTCAGTACTATATCCTAACAGTTCATATGCCTTCAAGCAGTCAGGAACTCCAGACTCTCAGCTTCCTATTGTCCTGTACTTCCAGTCTGGACGGTTCTCTTATGCCCCCTGCCTCTTGTACCTCCACAGTCCTCCTGCTGAGTTCAGTTCACCCTGTGTCATTCAGTGGGGTGGTCCCATACTCTGGCTGGCTACAGGTCCTTCAGGTCACAACCCATTACAGGGGCTCAGATCAACCTACAGTCAGCTCTGCCTCAATAAAGTCCAGGATTCCATGTCTCTGGACATGGCCAAACGACTGGGCTCCAGGCATTGGTGGAGAACAGAGCTGGTTGAACCCAGTGTAGGAGAAGGACGAACAGACTTCAGAATGCGAGGAGTTTCTGGTTCAATTCCTGGGCATCACACCATTCTTTCCCCATTTGCTCATCCTCATTACTTTCCTCCTCCCTCTTGGGTTCCTTCTGACTCCCTGAGAAACTGGAAGTGTTCCCTTTAAATCTTCCTTGCCACTCACCTTTGGAGGGGAAGGGAGGGGAAAGTTTGCATTTCTTTATAATTGTTGCAAGCTGCTTCAGTGCATCAGTGATGCTTTGAGAGGGCTTTTTAAAAAGCCCTTTCAAAGCATTGCTGATGTGTTAGCAATAATTAAAAGAAATTCAAAACTTCCTCTCCCCTGACCTTGTTAAGTGGCTTCTGCAAAGAGACAGTCACCCAACTCCTTTGGTTCAATCCCAGCGAGAATACATGCTGAAATCAAAATAGAGCAATACTACCTGCATCAAAAACAAAAGTAGCCCCTGATTGGAAGCCATAAAAGGTACTGGTAGGAACATTTGGGGGTTCAACCAGTTCATGATAGCATTTAACATCATCTGGTTGCCAGCAAAAGGAGCAAACCAGCCTGTCCCACCAGTGGACCAAACAGCAGGACAAACACCAAAACAGTCACCTTCTCAGTTTAAGGCAACTTCATAAATACTTATATGAGATCTCATGATTCACTAGCTCTCAAACACAGATTAACATTGCATGTTAGCCATGAAATGACTCTGGGTTGTGTTTTGTTTTTAAATATATTTTAACTACCGCATGGTCTGTCAGTAGATGGTTGTATGCCAGCTATCCAGCATTGTCAGATACAGGTACTGTATTAGTCATTTCAAACTGTCTTTTGGGGAAAACAAAGGTTCTTTGGGTGTTTGTTTATTATTATTATTATTTATTTATTTACACTATTTCTACCCAACCTTACTCCCCAAAGAGGACCCCAGGCAGCTTACAACATTGAAAAGCAATATTTAAAGTTTAAAAGAATGAGTAGACAACGATGGTTAACATCCTTAAAGGACAATGTTTAAAGCAAAGAACAATGAATATAAAGAGACACCTTACATCATTAAAAGGCAATATTAAAGCTAGAAACAATATGTATATAAATATCAAAAAGAAAAAAATGTCACTCTTCCTGAATGAGTAACATCAGAAATGGCTTCCACATTTGCATTAGGTCAGGTGTGAGAAATTACAGCCTTCCAGATATTACTGGGCTGCAATAACCTGGCTAGCATAGCCAATATTGAATTTTCATCATTTGTCCATCTGTGTTTGAAAGACTGAAGGTCAGTTCCCTTTACTATAATCCAGTGTGGGTCACTACAGACAAACACGCCCAAAGAAATCTTGTGTTGCAATATAGGACAAAGAAGAATGAGGGAATGTTGAATGATCGGCAGCCTTTTTGCCAAATAATTCACACCACCAAAAGTACAGTCTGAAACCTACAGCTCTGACTGAGACTGTAAACTCCATCTTGAAATTTGTTCAAGCACAGAATTCTTGGTTTGTGTTCCAAGAGAAAATTACTGCACAAACTAGGGAAAACCCTGGCATAGCTATGCTAAAATACAAAGAACAACAAGAACAATAAGCTATTTGTGCCTGTTTTGGATGAGACATCACATATGTCATAGGACGTCTCAAAACACTAACTTGCAAATATTCAAATGTTTTCAGATTATGAAAGAGCCACACATTATCTGCTCATGGATCCATGAAACATCCTCACCCCCCAGATGTATTTTAGCTGGAACTAGCATATTCCACAACAGAAAATCATGGAATCTACAGTAGGGGGAAAATACTCTCAAATTTTCTGTGCAACTGCAATGCAAATGTCAAATTTCCATTTTGAATGTAACATACTGCATATTACCCAAAATTTTAAGACATTCTAGATAAGCATTCTGATTTTTTCAGACTTTGACTATAGCTTGAAATATGAGCAGCCATTGTTGTTTTCTAGAATAGCCTCCCCTGGCACCTATACTGCCAGGCCACGTTCCTTTAATTGCCCTCAAGCCTTCATACTACTAATGGAACTAAAGTAAAATAGATGGTCAGTAGTGTTGTTTTGACACAACAGTTTTTCTGTCTGTGGGTGTGGAGAAAAGATCCCACAGCAGAGCTACCATTACTTCATAACATCTTCTTTCTTCTGTTCTTTCTTCTTACCTCTCCCATTGACCACACCTTTCCTACTCCCACCCCATCCTCTCTATGTGTCTGATCCTGCACAGTGGAAGACAGATTACCAGCTCCAGGGCTGGGCTGTTTGAGGACACATTGAGGGAACAAGAAGACGTAAGATCCTATAAATACCCTTCCTTTCTCTACATAACCTGGAATGCCTCATTTTGGCCTTTATCAGTAGGAAAACAGGGACAGCAAATCAACAACTGCAGCTCAACTTTTCATCTCACGGGGGAGACCTCTGGACATATCACTTGATTGACTGATAAATACGCTTCTCCACCAATGGAGCAGTGGTCACACTCCATCTCATGTTCTCTCCTACTTCTGCCAATTTCCTTGAAGAGGGAGGAGTGCTCTCTGAAACCACTTTTGTGGCTTTGCTACTTTGACTTTTTTTTAATGTTCTATTATTGTGTTTCATGATATTCTAAGTTTAATAATTTGATGAAAGACCCAATGTTCAGTTCCTAGTCTTTCTACTCTCCACCCCGACACACACACAGACCAAGGACCTCACTTGTCTTAACAAGTCTTTTTTTTCCTGAGCCTCTGAACAGCCAGTCAGAGGAGAGATTAGAGTGCAGAATGACCAGAACAACTCATTTTAAGGCAGCTTCATCAATACATATAGGAGATCCCATGATCCACCAGCTCTCAAACATTGATGAACATTGCATATTACCTATCAAATGTCACTGGGTTTTGTTTTGCTTTGTTTTTAAATACAGGTCAACTTCCACACTGTCTGTCAGCAGATGGCTTTTACAGGCCAGCTATCCAGCACTGTCAGATATTAGTAGCTTCAATCTGTCTTTTGGAAGAAAACATAAATTCCTTGGGTGTTTGTTGGGGTTCCTCAATGAGCAAAATCAGTAATGGCATCCGAATTTGCATTAAAATAGGACTAGGAGACTATGGCCTTCCAGATAATTTCCATCAGTTGCCCACCCCTGTTTGAATGACTGAAGCTCAGTTTCCTTTTCTACAATTTCAGGTGGGTATTTATGGACAATATGTTGCATTTCTCTCAAGTAATGTAGTCTAAAATGTATTCTCCCACAGGTAGTTTCTGCTTTGTTGTGCAAGGATAACTGTGCACTGTCACTTTCCCCAGAAAGGTGTAACTAAATGGGAATGAGAAATCACTGTGGAATGTTTTTATGTATGTGAAAAGGCATGTAAATCCTGACGTGTTCCATCCTCACATGATAAAAGAGAAGGCACAAAGCTCTTTCTCACTGCTACAAGAGGATGAGAAATATTTTTGCTGAGACTGAATATTACTGAGTCTGATTTTTGTGTGTTCCTAAAACACCTGCATTCTTGGAATACACACTACACACTACACTTGATCTTAGCCAAAAGGAAACTGGAATAAATATTGCCCACCTTGCAGAAATCAGTAGGTATAGTAACACCAGATGGACTGTTTGTATCCTTTTGGTCAAACATTCAATTCTTGTGTGCTTTCTCTATGTGTGTGTGCGCATGCTTGGGGCAAAGCACTTGCTCGGTGCTGCAGCCCGTTACACAAAATGCAGAAAACATGTGTGAGGGGGGAAAAGTTTGTTTTCTCACAGGAAGTGACAACTCTCATGGGGGTTAGAAAATTCTCAACAGGCTGTTTTGCCACATTGAGGTGGCCTTGTTGCAACAAGGAACAAGAAATGGGCAACTGTTCTTTACACCACTATGAGAATGTCCTGGCCCTATCAACTACTACACCCACTCAAGCAGCCCTAAAGAGTTTTACAGCTACTAGTGTAGCTCTTTACACCAAAAGGTTTGCCTACCCCAGCCTGAAGACATGCACAGGAGGCTGGGGACAGATACGTCTTGTCCTTTCCTAGTGTAGGACATCTAGACCCCTCCCCTCAAAGTCAAAACGCTACATGGAAGCAATATACTGTAGGTTTATTTATATTCTGCAACAGAACAGCTTGAAGGGCAGTTAGACTGATTTCACAGTAATTTGACATGTGACTTTATTCCAGGAACTGGGAATGGAGATGAGCTACTGAATTGCTCGTTTTGGGTGTGGCAAGGGAGAGATT